CTAGCTAACCGTAGCTAACTTGTTTGTCCATTGTTTGGTCTGTGACGTAATAGGTCAACAGGAAAAAGGTCCAATACTAACAAGCTGAAAGGGGGCATATCTCCACCTATCGTAGAGGAGTCGCACATACTTGGCTCAATAAATGGATTCCCCTCCCGTGCTTGTATACTGGGACAAGGACAGTAGGCCAGTTAGATGTCCTCGTCCAGCTGGGACTGGAGCTACACTTCACTGTGCATGTAAACGTACTGAATGACTGGGTCTTTAGGTGCATTCAGGTACACCTTGTAAACTCTGAAATCTACGTGGTGTAGAATGGCAAAGTGTCTGGATGCTGACCATGGTGCATTCAAGTGCACCTTGTAAAGTAATCTACACTTGAATGACTGCAAAGGCTGTTTGTAACAGGACAATTTGTTTTTTTATTTGTATTTATTTATTTTTCTACTGAAATGATTTATTGCAGAGTAAAGAACGGGTCTGATTTTGAAAACTTGCACCTGCCCATACCTGTAAAGCTCAGTCCAGAACCGACCCGTTACCTGTCATTATGTCTAAGTCAAAGCTGCACCCGTGATCAACCCCCCCAGGCTCCAGTCCCTCACAGTCAGCTAGTTCGTCTCTTTGACTGGATGGTGAAAACATTCAATCACTGCCAGGTTAGGAAAACTGTTAGCATGCTCCTTCCACCACCATCAAACCTCCAAAGGATCCGAACTCCATGTAGGCTGCCACCTCATCCTCGGGCTGCAAAGTTTCATGGCTGGAGTCCTCCACGTCGGTGACCAAAGGTTACACTTGTGTCACTGACTTTCAAAATAAAATGAACTGCGGCTTGATAATAGTGATTTAGATGTTAGAATATTACACATATACTGCACAGCTTTTTACTGTGTTTCATTCTGAAAAATAAAAAAATTGATTTTTGTTCTCATCTGCTGCCCGTCCACGTGGAGTTCATTTTTACTGTCTCTATGTATATATGAACAGGAGGAATCACTACAATGACCAGAACCTGTTTCAGTGTCACGTCCTCACATAAACGTTATATTTTGTTCAGTAAAGCTTATATTATAAAAACAGACCTGCTAATGGTCACAGATCAACCAGTGTTTAAACCACCGCAGCAGCTCGATGGTGGTCACGTTCGTTTTTGGTGCAATGAAGCATCGAGTCGTCTGCTTCCACTGTAACATCTCTGATCCTGTTTTCACTCCATCATATTAAGTCCTTGTGTTTTGTATGTTCCAGCTCTAAATCTGGCTTCATGTTCGGTCTGAACAATCGTTCATTAACAGAGTGTCAGTGAACGTGTCACAACAAAAACAAATAAAAGCACCATGTTGATGACATCATGTTTTCTGTAGTTCTGTTTCACAGCTGCATCTGTACGAAGGAGAGTCGACACGTCGGTTTAATGAAACACGTCACTTTTTTATTGGATGAAAACATTTATTATGACACACCTCTGTTGCTTCGCCTATTTCACATGGCACCATAACTCCTCTGTGGCCTTGTTCACGCACGACTGGCTGCGACCTCCCCGCCACTGTGATTGGCTCAAACAAGTCATCACCTTATAGCTCATGTCCATCAAACTAAAGGCTCCAGAGTCCTCTCATAATATAGCTAATTTTCAGTTGTGGTAACAGATCCAGTCACATTTATTTCCAGATTAATTTGAACTATCCAGAATTTTCAAATATTAAGGCCCCGTCTACACGTTTGTGTGTATATTTTTAAAAACTGATATTTTCCCCCAAAAAATTCTGTCCACATGACCTTCGTTTTACAAAACATCTGTCCACATTAAAACTCAAAACTGACTCCAAATGCTCGTCGGTGTTAGCCATCATCAACAGTCTCCTCTTGTCACAAAGTTATTGAAGCGTACAGGCTGACATTATGTTTTGCAAAACACCTACTGGAGATCTCATCACCGTTCATTCCCCTTAGATTAAAGGACGAAGGAGCTCTGTCAAAAATACGAATGATGCTCTGGACATGCAAAACCTTTCCTTCCACTCCTCGTCCCACTCTAGTAATTGTCCGACCATCTGCTGGTTCAACCGCGTCTGCACCAAAACCATCATTTCAGGTGGACTTTGATTGGCGGACGCTGAGGTGAAGCAAAAACACTGGCACAGCAGATGCCTTTGTTTGCCTGTGAAATGGTGCAGCAATATTGAGTTTAAGTGTAGAGTTGTCTTTGGTAACAAAACGGGAGAAACAAATTGAGGAGATGACGCCATTGTTTCCCAAATGCTCCATTTTACATCCACGTGAATACAAAGTTACTGGACGTTTTAAAAAATCGGTGTTTGTGTGTGGACAGGAGGCTGAAACATTAAGGAAAATATGTTTTCAAAATGACATGTATACGTGTCGACGGGGCCCTTTAGTTTGTGAATTGGAAAATGCTAACTGTAGAGCATAAAGGAAGTGATGTAAAACTCAAAGTCTGAATCAGTTTGGACACAAACTCGTCTAAAGTCTCATCTCCAGCCAGGCTTGAACAAGGCCGCCGACAGTGATGGCAGACTAACTTCCAGGACCATCTATTGGCTTTTAAACATGGGGACGAACTCCCTGTCCGTCTCCTTCACTTTCACAATTTTCATCCTTTCATCCTGATTTGACTTTTAGGGGCTGTTGAAGTGATTCTCCTCCCAAAATGTGTTTAACTATCAAACACACAGAGTTTATAAACCCACATCCCAAGCCTTCAGTTCTGGCTTCAGATCATCAAATAAAGATTCAGACTTTATGAAATGATGTTCAGAAATAATTTCAAACTCTGGTTGTATACTAACATGCGTGAACTAGTTAGTTGTGAACATTGTAGAATCCATTAACTGTTTCAGTTGACTCCCATGGCGTCTCACATAAACAGGGCTAGAGCGCTATATCAGTCTCAAGGTGTGCCATGGTATAAAAACTGACAGTTATCATACCAAGCTTCTTTACAGTACTGAAATAACGTATATAATCATCTGACTTGTGCAAGCACATCTCATCTCATTTGCTGGACGAAAAAACCACAAACCTTTTGTTTTCAGGCCTTTAAAGGTCATTGTAACTGATAACAGTAAGTGTACATTATGGTGATATTTTCCAGCAACCTTACACAGACGTGTTCAACATGATTTACAGGTCTGCTGTGACTGAGGACAGTTAATGTAGTAACTGTCGTCTACATGACTTTTGACTGAAAGAAACCTTTGTGTGCATGCACTTAATTTTGACTATTTTACACAATAAAAAAAATAGAATTACCACCCTGCTGTTGTATGACTCCGCCCACCAGTCCACCCTGTGGTTGTATGACTCCGCCCACCAGTCCACCCTGTGGTTGTATGACTCCGCCCACCAGTCCACCCTGTGGTTGTATGACTCCGCCCACCAGTCCACCCTGTGGTTGTATGACTCCGCCCACAAGTCCACCCTGTGGTTGTATGACTCCGCCCACCAGTCCACCCTGTGGATGTATGACTCCGCCCACCAGTCCACCCTGTGGTTGTATGACTCCGCCCACCAGTCCAGTGTCTCTGACAGTCTCCATCCATGTCAGTGAAAACATGGATGCTTCACACACAGAAGATCTATACAATCAGCACAGTTTCAAGATTAGAGTCACCAATTTAGTATCTGACCAAATGTCTCCCCTTCTGTTCCTGAGATATGATGTTAAAACATGATGATGTCACAATCAAGCTGACCTTTGACCTTTTGACCTTCATTATTTTATCCTGTTAGACATTTGTGTCAAGTTTGGTCAGAATTAGTGAATGAATTCTTCAGTTATGGCCAAAAGCATGTTTTGTGAGGTCACACTGACCTTTGACCTTCAACCAAAAAAATTCTAATTCAGTCCAAGTGGACATTTGTGCCAAATTTGAAGAAATTCCCTTGAGGTGTTCTTGAGATATCATGTTCACAAGGATGGGATGGATGTACGAACCTGAAAGCATAACGCGTCCTTCCACGGCTATCGCCAGTGTGGCGGCATAAAAATTCAAATGAACCGATACACTGGCCAACTTTGTAGCCACCCAAAAAGTCTACAATGTCTAAAAAATGTGCAGAAATGTAATCAGGGTTTCTTTTGGCTAAAATTTGTACTTTCAACCTGAATGTGTGTCATCATGTGTGACGTCAGTGTCACAGTTTTCTGCTCTTTGTACTTAGATGTTCATAAAAGCAATTTTTTCCTCAGAGTTTTTGATATAATTTGTGCACAATTTTCTGTAGACATTTTTAGAACTGCACTTTTCCAAACTTGAACTTTTCATGCAGAGTTTTCAGTAGGGCTGACCTTTGAAAGTCAGGGACTGGAATCATCATAAACGTCTGAATGTATTTCAAATGATATAATTCTGAGTTGGGTACAGCCATAAAGTTCACAAAAGGTGATATGCAACCACAGGCTTTGAAATTATTTTTGAACATCATTTTGCAAGCACAAAATCTTAATGACCGTTACCTGAAACCACTTACAAGAGGTGAGTGTTTGATCGTCAAAAGATTTCGGTGGTGTATCACTTGTATATCTTAAAATGGCAAGTGGGACCTGAAAGGTTTGCATTCAGAAGCTACTTGGGCTTTATTCATACTCAAAACATGCTTTGGAAATACAGCAGGGTGGTAAATACAAAACCTTGTTTTAATGAATAAACAGCCCCTTCATGTTGGTTCCGTCCAGCACTCTGCTGTCTTTGACCCCCGAGCACACATGGAGGAGTGATGGTACAACTACAGAGAATACTCATCGTCTTAATACTCGACAATGTCTCAACCTATCACTACTTTTACAGCAACACAGTTAAGCAGATATTAACACGTTATTAAGACTTCTGTAAGGACCCAAGTCTGTCGACTCGAAGCCCAGCCATCACTGAATCAAATCTTTTTGTTTCTTGACAGGAAATACTCAACAGCAAACAGTGCCTGAATCTAGAAGCAAACACAAAGATAACGTCATTCGATGAACAGACGCATGAAGTTGCTTTGTTCATCTGTGCTGACAGTTTATAGCATTTCAGGTCTTTGCGGCACTTGAATACAGATGGCTAGTAATGCTCTCGTCTGGCTTTAGAAAGTGTGTGACCTCTGAATAACAACATCATTGTCTTCCATCGTCCACAATGTTAACAGGTGTGTATACAGTCAGTGAATATATTAGCATGCTGTCAGGGAGCAACACAGATTCTTTTGCCCACCAGGAAGCGTTGAAGATTTTGTATATTTTCATGTTATTTACAATGCTGATTAAGACAACGAGTACAGGAGAGTTACCCACAATCAGCTGAGAATTTGAAAATGACAGAATTTGCTATATGTTCTGCAACAGTGAAGGAACTGGAGTCCAGTAGATGTCGGGCTGAACATTTTGATAAATCATTCCCTCAAATCAATAATTTGGTTCAATGTATTGAGCTTCTTGTCACATTCAGTGGGGGTTCGTGGTCCCCAGCAGTGTTTGGGTGGGTAGTGCATGCCAGGACCAAAGGCTTCCCAGCAGAACATTGCAATGTAACAAGATAATCAATGTTATTTATCTGTTGATGGTTTTAAGGTTTTGGCTGATGAGTCTATATCAGTTTTGTGACATCTAAATTATTTATATGGTGATAGATTTTTATCCAAATTGCACAGTAGAGTCAGTGGTTCATAGTTAATAAGTTCCCTCAAATTTATTTTTTGTTCCTTCAAAAGATTAAATCGTGTTTTACACTGTCTCTATCTGTTAATAGTTTTTACCAAGATTCCATCCTGTTAACCTGTGATACATATTAATTCCAGTCAAAGATCCCAGTATAATCTCAGACGCCTGGGATTATATTGTGAAATGGAATAAAGGTGATTAATTTGAAGAAATTATTTCATCACAAATGTAGGCCCAGCCCTACTGGGCTCTGTATGTCACAGGAAAGGCTAACAGTGTATCATAGTCAGTTGAGTGGTGAGGCAAAGGCCCAAAGCGTTTATGTACTGTATGTAAAAAATACTTTACATGTTAGTGTATGTTGTTGTGTGAGTCTGTCAACAGTCCGCCACAGTTTGAACCTTTTCAGGTAAAAGTCCAGCTGAGTAATCCTTCAGAAGTTTGCATAATATTGTTCTTTTATCGATTCTGTCCAGGAGACCGATGGTGATTTATGTGCTGAAATCAAGTTCATTGTCTTTATGTTTTCACTACATTTCTACCAGGCAATGATTATTCTACAAATACAAAACAAGTACAAAAAGATGCACTTCCGTTTCATGTGAGATTTTTCTCTGAAGTGCATCTCTAAAAGTTATTGATGATCTGTTCGTGTCAGACCTGTCTCAATGCATACATCCAACCCTGTATGAATGGGAGATGGAAGCTGTGATCAATTGTTCAGGAAATAAAGAGAAAAACTTGAATACAGTGAATGGGGAAAGTAAAAGGTCAATACCCGAGGTAAAGGGGCAGCACACTCCTACTCCGTCCACCTGAGTGCTGAATTTCATTTAGGAACACAGTAGAGTCATCAGTGTCGTCCAGTAATCCACTAAACGTCCTACGACTCAGTCTTTTCCCCTGGCTTCTCATTGATTGTGGCTGCTTGGCTCTGTGTGTCTTGCAGGCAGCAGGAAATGGGGCTGGGGGTGTAATTAAATGGAGTGACTCGGGCGGCCTTGCTGGGGGATCCTTGGCGGAAGTGGACAACTCCACCCACGTGGCTGTCTGGCGTTCCCGTGGAGATAGTGCTGTGGCTCCTCAGGGAGGCGTCTGAATCTCCATCCGGAGGGTTACTCCCAGAGGTGGCACTGATCTTTCTGAGTAGCGCAAATCGTGCCACTTCCTCTGAGATCACCGGAGCAGTTTCGACCGCGGGGGAGGTGCTCGAGTTGGTCTTGTTATTCGAAAAATCTTCTGTCTGGACTGTCGCATCACTTGTCTTGCGAGATGCAAGAAGAATGGTTGGCAGTTTTCCTGGAAGAGCTGGTAACTTTGGCTTTTCCCCATCAGGAGAAGGCACCAGAGGTAGTGCATTGGCTGGCAGAGTGCTTTTCAAGATCTGAGGTACATCTTCGTCCCTGATCCTCCTCCAGGTCACTCTGTCATTTAGCCGGGATGCAGCTCTCTGCCCTTTCTTCTTTGTATCATCCTCACTCTTTGCTCTTCCACTCGAATCGGATGATGATGAACGGAGGGAAGAACGGCTGGTCACTCGGCTCAGTATGTTTATGCTCGGTGATGAGGCGTGACGTTTAAAGGTATCTTTGTCTTGGTGCTGCCTGGCTCCGGACACTTTGCCAGACACGTTTCGCTGAGCCACCCTGCAGGGGCTTTCAGAGCTAGTTCTCCTGGCTGGGCGTCTTGCAGATAGGTCCCTTTCAATGGAGGTCGCTCTAGAGAGGGTTGTAGTCTGTTTCTGAAGGCCAGGTTCTGGCCTCTGGACTTGCTGTGCTTGTTTTGGAGCTTTTACTTGCACCCTTCTCTGGGTTTGCACAGCTGCCTTTAGTTCCTGACAGCGTGATGAGCAAAGGAAGACAGCTGAAGCTCCAGGAACTGCTCTGCGGGGGGATCCATTCTGAGATCCAGGCATGTTGCGTACAGTACCATCACGTCTCAGCGCAGTCTGTGATTCCTTAATGAAAGTCAGCTGTCTCAAGAATCCATTGCGCTCAGACTCACCACCACTTGAATGAACGGAAGTCATCCTGACAAGTTCAAATCGATTGGCGGGGGACACCTTTTTCCCATTGACCTGATTGATTTGTTTGGTGCTTGCTTGGTTAGTCACCAGAGGTGACAGAGGTCTAGCCCTGACTGAATTTTGCATAAAAGGGATCCGGACAGGTGACTTTTGAGTTTTGGGTGGTGGGGATTTTTCATTTTGATTCACAACAGGAGAGCGTCCCTTTCTTTCAGGGGGGCTACTAGCTGGAGAGCTACTAGCTGGTGAGGCATTCTTTTTCTGGACAGATTTATTTGTCTGAGTTGGGGATGTTATCTTCTTCTGTGACTGTTTGGATGGTGTAGAGCTTTGCGATGATCCAGAGGATGAACTTTTTGGTATCCTTGGAGGTGGAGTAGAGCTCCTCTTTGGCAAAGACAGTTCAATGTCCTGGGGGTGACCTAATCGGTGAAGGCTCTTTGATCTGTGCTGAGCGAGGTTGGGGTTCTTTGGAGCATCTGTCTTGGTTGGTACTTTTCTGGGAGGAGGTCTTTGCGATGGAGCCGTCTCTTTTTTCGGTGTATAGATCACTGTCCTGCCTCTGAAAACCACTGGTAGGTTTGGAACTGGCTTGCGTTGTGCGAAGTCTAGAGGTTTATTTGCCTTTTTGTCTTTAGCAAATTTCCTTTCTTTGGGTGTAAAGCTGGATGTTGACATGAATGACAGGACTGATTCAGTCTCTTCAGAGGATGGCTCCTGAGACTTGGATGCCTGCAGCCCAGTGACGACACAGTTTGCACCTTCTTGTATGGCTCTCCATTCAACACTGTTGAGATCTGAATCTTTATCCCATGCTGTATCATCACTATCCATTTCCTCATCCATGTTCCACCCATCAGAGGCCTTTTGTTTTTGAGTATTTTCTGCTTTCTTCTTCCTGGCAGCAAGCTTCCTTCTCTGCTTGGGCATGGCAGATGTTATGCATTTCTGAAGGAGGTCATCCTCTGAATCCATGCTGACAGAGCTTGGTGAGCTTGGCTCTTCGTATTGACTGTGAATGTTCATAATTTTTTTTTCTTTCATCATATTCAGTGTTTTGTTGTGTCTGTTTTTGTACCATATCTGCTGGGCTTTTGATTTCTGATCCTCAAACTCGGCATCACTCAGTGAACTGAGCGAGGAGCTGAGGGAGTAACATGCCAGAGATTCATCCTTTATCAGATTCTGTTTAATCCTGTGAAATCCTCTGGGCTTTGCTTGGGAATTATCAATCCTGCCGATATTTGTCATGCTTCGGGAGAGAGTATTTCTGCTTGCTTCCCTGATCTGTTTTCTACTTGTTCTTTTCATTCCTTCGTCTTTTTCATTTTCGCCATCATAGAAGCTGTTACTGTCCTCTGAAGAATGTGTCATTTGGCGAAAGATTGTTTTTCCTTTTTGTGATCCCATATTAAGGTTACTTTCTGTGTTTTGCTTTATAACGGGCAGTTCCAATTTCCTGACTGGGCCTTGCCCTTGCTTCTTCTTTTGTTGGTTAGGAGACTGATCGCGATTTCTTTGGTTTGCCACTCTGTCGGCCACCTCTTTGCTCTGCATTAGCACCCTCTGAGTGGGAATGATATGTTTGGTTGTTCGGTTCATTTGTATCTCAGGAGGGTAGTTCATCCTGTTGGGTTTGTGGAAATGTGAGAATATCCTCAAGTCTTCGATCCTCTTCGCCTCATCGTTGAGCAATTCCTGTTTGTTCATGCCTTTAGCTGTGCAGTCTTTAGCACCCTTGTCCTTCACTGGATACTGAAGTGTTTCGTCACTTAGCGATGTTGTGCTGGAGAAGTTGACAGGTGTACCCTCTGCAGAATCAGTGAAGGAGGAATCATCACATTTCAAATCCTTTTGTGGGATAACAATTCTCCTCCCAGGACACATTTGGGTTTTTCCATTTGGGAGCATCATGTACACTGGAAGATGTATCTGTTTTCGGATCTGGGAGTTGAGAATGTGAGGAGGGATGGTGGTCATCAGGGATGGTCTTACTTTTCTGAACTTGGAGGGCATTGCTGAGTTGATGCATTCCTTTAAGATTTCTATATCATCATCTGAGTTACCCTCACTGTATCTCTCACCGTGGTCTAATCCTTGCTCATCCTCATCAGGGAAAGGAAGATTTTTATCATTTTGCTGAAGTAGCGGGGTCAATTTCAATTCCACGTCTTTTTGAATGTAGTGTTCATGAAGAGGCAGAGCACTTAAGCTCGAAGCACAAGAGAAGTTCTCAGTGGGCTTTTCCACAGTGAAGTAGATCATGGTGTCCAGGTCAGGAGGAAGGTTAAACCTCTCTTTCGAGTCCGCAATCTCCATGAACTTCCGCAGGCTGCTTTCCCATTGGCCTGCTATTCCCGTGGTTTGTGTTTCTGGTCCATTTGACTCAACGCAACATGGAGTCTTACTTCGACTAGGAGGCATGGTTTGCCCTGGGCTATCGGGAAGATCACTTGGACTTATTGTTCCATCAATCATCTCACTGCATGGATCACTTTGGATTGAGCTGGCAATAGAGGGAGACTCAAAGCTGCCTAATGAACTGACTGAGCTACAGCGACTCATTACCAGAGGTGTCTCATGGATGTAGTTCTCAGACGAACTGGATGGAGATCTGTCTTCCAGTATGGCAGGTGAAGCTCCTCTAAGGAACACCTTTTCCCTTTTGGCAGGACAGGGAATCTCAATGGGATTGGTCTCTTTGCTGGGGAAGGTTTTTGAGTCAGTCATCAGCAGCTGGCTGTCACTCAGGTCCTCCAAGGTTTCATCCTCTTCAGCTCTCTTCACCACTTCTCCATCCTCCACTTCAATTATTTCTAATGAAGAGTCACTCTCCAGCTCATTCTCACTTTGTCCATCAAGTGCTCCATCACCAGAAGAGAGGGAGGACAGAGAACTGCAGCGGGAGAAGCAAATCGGGGTATTCTCCACTGAGTATTTCTGGACCGTCTCCATTGGCCCAATAGTTGGGCTTCTAGTGGATGGCATTGGAGAGAATTTCGTAATGCTACCCCCAGTCATCACAGTAGGTACCCATGCTTGCCTCCGCATTGCTTGGGCAGCCTGAACATTAATGGCTGTTTTTGCGACACCAAATTTGGCCACACTCTGAATGAGTGGGACTTGTTGATAAGAAGGAGACAGCTTAATTGAAGTCATGCTGACATCAGAGGAGACTTTAGTGGATGCACTGACAGGCGTTTGTACAGGATGATCCTGGTTCTTTTCTGCATCTGCACTGCTGAGTTCAAGAGCTCTGGTGTCTTTGTTGTCCACAGAATCTCTCTCCGGAATATCCTGCTGGTTAGTCTCATTCAGAGCAGCAAGTCCTACATTAAGATAATCCTGATGAGCCACCTTGAGATCAAGCTGGTTGGGTCGTTGTTGCATCATTAGAGCTTTTGGAGCAGGTCTCATCTGGTCTTTACTACCGCAGTATCCATCGCTGGTGCTGCCACTGTTTAGGCTGTCTGTTGACACACTTGTATGGGCAGTTTTGAGGCGCAAGAGAGCGTGGGCTCTACTGAGGCGTTCTCTGTGGGCCAAGCTGCTTGTATCAGAGAGACGGCACGGGGAACATGATTTCGCCCGGGCTTCATTGAGTTCATCCAGTCCATAAGGCCAGTCCGCCAGGTGGTCCTCAGAGCTGAGGCTAAAACTGTCCTCCGAGGACGTGTGCATAGTGATGTCCTCCACTAACCTGTCAATCTTGGCAACCGTGTTGGTAATCTTTTTGGCTAGCTTCTCTGCCACGGCAGATACCACATCGTCAGGAGGTGCATGTGTCTTCTCGACCATCTGAGGCATGTCTACATCTCTCTCTGGCTCACTTTCCCTCTTGCGTGGCTGGTTTTGCAGGAAGTTAGAGTTGGTAAGGAACATGGACAGCATAGAGAAGTTCCCAGTGTCCAGGCTACTGGAGACGTTGGGGGCCTCGTCATCATCAAAACAACCAGAGTCAGATGCGTAATCCTTTGCCAGACTCTCAATGTGCCGTAGCGGCTTGTTAAGGGTCAGGTGCTTGGGGCTCTGTTTCTCAAGGGTATCAAAAGTTTCTGCAAGGTGTTTTGCATCCAGCTCTGCCTCCAGAGCCTTCTGTTTCCTCATGTAGAGTGAGGGCATGCAGGAGCCAGGGGATATAACTGCAGCATCCTTATATTTCAGGGGTCGATTGGTGAGGAGATTCCTTAAAGCTGCGGCGCTGCCCATGGCAATCATCTTGTGCTTGGAGTGGATAAGGTTGCGCAGCATGCTAACCGCTCCGAGGTCCCACAGCAGTTCCTGGTCTTTCGGACTTCGGGCAGAAAGATTCCAGAGAGTCCCGCAGGCGTTGCTCACTATAGTCAGGCTGTGGGAGCGCAGGTGCTGCAGAAGAGTTTGGAGGCAGTTGTGGTCCCTGAGGATTTGCCTGTGAAGTAAGAAACCAAAGGACACTTTGACACATTTCTTACCTCCAGCTGAAGCTAATTATTTCTTGCTTTATTACATGTTGAAGGACTGTGCCAGTGGTGTTGCATGTTTCAGCCCATTTTACTACAATTCACAAATTTTACCTTGCTGCCATTTTCTTAAGCATGCAATAGTTTTTTGTGTTTCCTTCCTTCCAAATATCTGTTGGTTTCCATTAATATCATTGTGGTATATAAAAAAAAATCAACTTGCAGAATTTGATTTAGTTGTCTGATTGTAAACATCATGTCTGCTTTTATTATTGTCAGTGTCACTTGATAGTTACATCGTAATGTGCTGTAGACGTATGTGCCGGTTGATAACATAATTCTGCTCTGTATTATTTATCAAACAATAATGTAACTGTCAAGAATCTCATCAGATGGTATCTCAATTGAGTTCTCTACAGTACTGCACAAAATAAATGGAAGTCAACGGATGCATGGAATGTAAGAAAACAATCTAAAAACGTCATCAGCAGTAAATAACTGGAGTTAATTAAATTCAACCAATCACCTGTAACTGGGTTAATAATGCAAAAATCAGTTGTTAATTGACTTGTTAATAGAAGTCACCTTTACTTGAATGTGATATGTGAATGTCTGACAAAAAAACTTTTTCTCAAGTTTGACTTAGTCACATTTTCAAGTCTTCAACCACATCTCAGGTCTTCATCAGCAGATGGTATTTGCTCAGCTGTTGTCATGTGACCAAGGATTGCAGCATACACAATCCACTAATGGCGACCATTAGATGCAGCTGATAGCTCAAAAAAAAAAAAAAAAACGCCAGCAAGTGAGGTAAGATTGTTGTTTAATTATTTCATTATTATTTTGTCAAGAATGAAAAAGCATAACATGTCTTTACTTGTGACTGTCAGTGTTTGAATTTCGGAAACTTACCTATAGTCTTCACGTGTGGCGACCAGACTCGACACGTTTCGAAGGATTCCCCCGCCGCTCTCGATGATGGCGAGTGAGTTGGTTTGACATCGGTATGTCAGAGTGCTGACCAGGAAGCCCAGAGCGCCGTCCACCGAGCAGATTGCCACTTTGTTGTCGATGCTGTGTGCCGACAGATTCCACAGAGCACTCAGGAGACTCTTCAAGGTTGACTCCTGGAAAACCAGCAAAAAACGCACATAAAATACAATAATTAGACTCATTAAATCTTCACCAGAAATGGTTGAGAGAGAAAACTCATGCAGGATTTTCTTCTTATTTTGCTGTGTTCAGGACATTTATGGGCACGACGCTCATTGATAAAAGTTTTAGTATAGTATGTCGAAAAAATAAAGAAATTCACAGTATGTCATTAGAAAGTTTAAAAAAAGGTCACAGTATAGTGTGTAATAAAAAAGTTTAAATGTTTTTTTTTTAAAAAAAAGTCATTGTATAGCATGTGAAGATTTAAAAAAAAGTTACAATACAGTATATGACTAAAAAAAGTCACAGTAAACTATGTGATAAAGTAAAATAAAAGTCATAGCATAGTATGCTACAAAGTTTTTGGAAAGTCATGGTACAGTATGTGGAAAAAAGTAAAAAAGTCAGTTCAGTGTGTGATGAAAAAAATATTGTATAGTATGTTATATGTTATAAAGGAAAAGTCATAGTATAGTATTTTCATTAAAAAGTTTTCATATTTTAATAATATGTTAATAACTGTATCCAAATCAGATCATTTTCAGTGATGACAATGTAAAACTGTATTTCTTCATAATAAATCTTGCTTCCATCAACTGGCCAATGGCGTTTCATGCTTTGTACATCTTGTTGATGTTTTGTTGGATATAAAGTTCTGTTCTCTGTACATGCTCTTTACATACTCAAATGAAGCTGTTTTACTATTGTTATTTCTTCTGTGTGGGTTGGTTTGCTCTGCATTACCTTGGTGGCCTGCAGGGCGCAGGTCATCAGTGCAGACACACAGCCGATGTCTCGGAGGACTCTCTTGCTGCTGATGTCTGCTCTCCAAGACAGATTCCTCAAGATACTGGAGACCACCTGATGGAGCTCCTCACTGTCGGAGGCCAGCTGAGCCACCAGAGCCTGCAGACAGCTCTTCTTTGAGCACAGGGTGGCCTAAAGGGAAGGGAGTTGGAGGTCAAACAGACAGGATTGTGTTAGCTTGGTGAATCAATGAATAATGAATCAATGAAAAACACCATAGAATTGTAAGTCCTGCAAAATCATGAAAAAATATCAGAGTATAGTATGTTGAAAAAAGGGATAATAACGCTTTAGTATAGTTTGTCAAAAAAAAGCGATAAAACCGTTATAGTTTAATATGTCATTAAAAATAGTGATAAAACGTCATAGTGTAGTATGTCGAAAAAAGCGATAGAAATGTCATAGTAATGTTTTGTCGAAAAAAAGCGATAGAAACGACAGTATAGTATGTAGAAAAAAAGCGATAAAAACGCCATAGTATAGTATGCCGAAAAAACTCGATAGAAACGTCATAGTGTAGTATGTTGAAAAAAGCGATAGAAATGTCATAGTAATGTTTTGTCGAAAAAAGGCGATAGAAATGACAGTATAGTATGTAGAAAAAAAGTGATAAAAACGCCAAAGTATAGTATGCCAAAAAAACCCGATAGAAACGTCATAGTAATGTTTTGTCGAAAAAAATGATAGAAATGACACAGTATAGTATGTTGAAAAAAGCAATAGAAACGTAATAGTAATGTTTAGATGAAAAAAGGCGATAGAAACGACACAGTATAGTATGTTGAAAAAAAGCGATAAAAAAGCCATAGTATGGTATGTCGAAAACCCCCCCGATAGAAGCGACATAGTGTAGCATGTCGAATAAAGCAATTAAAACGTCATAGTATAGTATGTCCAACAAAAGTGATAAAAATAACAAAGTATAGTATGTCATCAAAAATCATGAAAAAACTCATAGTTAAATATGTGGCCGAAAATCATGAAAAACGTCATAGTGTAGTATGTTGTCAAAAATCATAAAAAACCCTATCCATGGTACAGTATGTAGGAAAAAGCGATAGAAACGTCATAGCATAGTACGTCAAAAACAAGTGAAAGAAACGTCAGTAATGTTTTGTCAAAAAAAGGCGATAGAAATTACAGTATAGTATGTTGAAGAAAACCCAATAGAAGCGACATAGTATAGTTTTGTCGAAAAAAGCGATAAAAACATCATAGTATAGTATGTAAAAAAAAAGCTATAGAAATGACACAGTATAGGATGTTGAAAAAAGCAAAAGAAACAGCATAGTAATGTTTAGTCGGAAAAAAAAAGCAAAAAAAAAAAAAAACGCCAGAGTATGGTATGTTGGAAATAACAACATGATAGAAGTGACAAGCTATAGCATGTTGAAAAAAGAGCAATTAAAACATCATAGTATGGCATGTTGTCAAAAATCATGAAAAAATGTCATAGTATAGTATGTCGTCAAAACCATAAAAAACATTGTACAGTATGTCATACAAAATTATCATGAAAAAAAATCATAGTATAGCATGTCGTCCAAAATCATGACAAAACGTCATAGTATAGCATGTCGTCCAAGATAGTGATAAAATGTCATAGTATAGCATGTCGTCCAACATCGCGAAAAAACGTCATAGTATAGCATGCTGTCCAAAATCATGATAAAACGTCATAGTATAGCATGCCGTCCAAAATCGTGATAAAACGTCATAGTATAGCTTGTCGTCCAAAATCGTGAAAAAACGTTATAGTATAGCATGTTGTCAAAAATCGTGAAAAAACGTCATAGTATAGCATGTTGTCAAAAATCGTGATAAAACGTCATAGTATAGCATGCCGTCCAAAATCGTGAAAAAACGTTATAGTATAGCATGTTGTCAAAAATCGTGAAAAAACGTCATAGTATAGCATGTTGTCAAAAATCATGAAAAAAACGTCACAGTATAGCATGTCGTCCAAAATCATGAAAAAACGTCATAGTATAGCATGCTGTCCAAAATCGTGAAAAAACGTCATAGTATAGCATGTTGTCAAAAATCGTGATAAAACGTCATAGTATAGCATG